TGGCCAACAGAAAATAGAGGTGAAGGAAAACCAAGCATTCATATAATTTCAGTTGGAACCCTGCTAATTTTAACCGTCGGTTAATCTAACCGGACTTGGTGAAATTGGCCCTTAGTCACAGTCCATTATGCGGTATTTTGATTTATATTTTCCAAGATTTGATATGCACCGTACTTTTTCCATAAGACTCTTGCGGTTTCTTGCTATAACTAGATTAAATTATGACAGAAGCGAGAAATTATTTATTATATAAACATTTTTTACATATAAATACATTTTCAAAAATAAATTAGTTTTTTTATATTACCATTACAGCATTCGACAATATTGGTAAGATATGCCCAAGATTTTTTGTTATTTTGTATTAACAAATGTACACTTGATAACTTAATCTGCGTGTGTCTTTAGCGAAATAATAGACAGTTTATAAATTTTATAGATATTTGCTAATCTTTAGCAATATATCTATCTAAGCGACATAAACTAGAAAAAAAACTAATTTATTTTGACGTTTTTCGCAATAGAAAATTCATATGATGTCTCACTTCATAATTCGACATGGCTACAGTGAGGGACAAAGAATCTTATAAAAGTTATTTTTCGTATTATATAACAATCTCGAGATAACAAAGCGATCGAGTCACGATTCGGTAAGAGGTAAAGGTTGATGAAGATAGATTCCACTGCCTCCTTCAGCAAAATCCGTCACCGCGTGTCCGTCCCCTTTCAAAATCCATTTCGTCGTTAATAATCCGTCCACTCCAACTGGACCGCGTGCATGGATACGTGTTGTCGAAATACCGACCTTTAAAGAAATATAAAAAGATGAAAAATTATGTCATTTATAATTTGCAACTCATACATGAGCGGAAGATATGTATTATATTTTTTCATTCTGTAAGAACATATATTAGAGAAATTGTACGATTCACATTATAAAAAGAGCAGGATTTCATGATAAATTTCGCGATAAATAATGCGATTAAAACTTTTATTTATTATTAATAAAATTTTTTATTTTTTAATTAAAATTTTCTTAATTAGGGAAAATATCTCACCTCTGCTCCAAGACCGAATCTGTAGCCATCGGCAAACCTAGTGCTGGCATTGTGGAAAACACACGCACTGTCCACCTCCCTCTGGAAGTGTGTGGCCGCGTTAGTGTTCTCGGTAACAATGACATCGGTATGATTGCTGCCATATTTATGAATGTGGTTGATAGCGTCGTCGATGTCGGAGACTACCTCTATGGTACATTCGAGTGAGCCGTACTCGGTTCGCATGCTTTTGGCGGCAGGTGGACCGAAAGTCAATAGCTCTCTTATCTTTGGGCCAGAATTGATTTTCACCTGAAAGGTGTACTTTTATGTAACGCGTAAAGCGACGTAAAGTTTTGATCGATGATGATGAGAAAAGAGTATTGATTGAAAGAGCAAATAATTTGTGAAAAGACATTAGATTAGAATTAATATAAATTGATAGAATGTATTAATGTGTCATGAAAATTCATAACACGCGTAAATTTTTTTTTTTTCTTTTTTTTTACAAGAGAGTTTTAAAAAGAATTAATCTCTTTTCTGCTTCGTGTCAAATTGATAGAATGTATTAATGTGTCATGAAAATTCATAACACGCGTAAATTTTTTTTTTTCTTTTTTTTTACAAGAGAGTTTTAAAAAGAATTAATCTCTTTTCTGCTTCGTGTCAAAAGAGTATAAATACTTCTCGGCGTAACTTGAGTAGAAACTTTTGACTTTTTACGATATCCCAGCGAAAGTCTCGCGACGAAAGTTTTACCTAACGCGAAGTTGCAGCAGCGCGACGCGAAACAGGAAGTAAAAAACATTACTCTCGGTCCTTAATCTCCTTTAAATTATGGAGTTACCAGCAGATCCTTTTGATTTGATCAAAAAGATTCTTTTTAAAAAAACTAAGAGTTAAAAGCTAGAAACTAAACGTTCCGAAATAGTGATATATTTATAATTTTTTAATAATAGTATATTTAATAGTAATACTATATTTATAATATTTTTTTCTTTTTTTTGGATATTATCACAGATATAAAACTAACTGACTTCTTCTTTGTGCAGCAAGTTGCATACGTCATTAAAGAAGTTGCTGTTCATGAGACTCTCGTGTATCAGCAAGGTCTCCATCGCATTGCACGCAGCCGGATAATCGCACTTGGAATCCCTGATGATCTTCAAAGCTTTTGCCAGATCCGCATCCTTGTCAACATAAACATGACAGATACCCTCGGCGTGTCCCAGCACGGGTATGTGCTTGGATTGCTCCTGGATTGTGCGGACGAGATCCGAGCTACCGCGAGGTATGATGAGATCAATGTGCTTCTCCATCGAGAGAAGATCGCTCACGTCCTCCCTCGTAGACACGAGCGAAATAGCATTGGAGGCGTCGAATTTTCCGAGCGCTTCCTTCACGAGCTTCATCAGGTACTTGTTGCTATGAGCGGCCTCCTTGCCACCTTTCAGAAGGAGCCCGTTGGCGCTGGACATAGCTAAAGCGGCCACTTGGGGCAGACTGTCCGGTCTGGACTCGAAGATCACCAGCAGCACGCCGATGGGCACTGTTATCTGCTGCAATTCCAGGCCCTCGGCCAGTTTCGTTCTACGTAGCACTCGACCCACGTTGTTCAACGAATCTTCCGCGATCTTATGCAGACCGGAACTCAAGGACTTGAGCTTCGCCGACGTCAGGGACAGGCGCGAGAGCAGGGCCTTGGCCAGGTTCTTTTTGCTCGCGGCTTCCAGATCCATCGCGTTCGCTGCGAGGATGTCGGACTGTCTCGACTCCAACAAGTCCGCCAGAGTTCTGATACATTCGGCACGTTCCTCCGGGCGTAACGCCTGCAACACTCTACTGCCGAGGCGAGCTGCAATTTTATTCGCGAGTTTGTGAATGCGATTGTCCAGCCGCTATCAATGATAGAGAATAAATCGTGGCTTGACATGCGAGTGGGATTCCGAAGTAGATTAGTTTTTTATTTTTATCCGCGATCGTGATGCTCAAATATTTATTTATTTTTATTTACCTGCCTTCCCGATGATGATTTTGTTTTATAAAATCTCAAATGCGGCGCATGTCATAATATTTCGTTACAATGTGAATAAATAGATAGCGAATAAATGAAACTTTGAGCACCGAAAGAAGATTAGCAATATGCAAAGCATAGTGGTTACATTTATTCCGGAGTTATGTACTGAATGCAACCAGCATCGCATTTCGATAGCTTACCGCGTATTTACAGAAATAAATCATTATGGAGATAAAAGCACGTTTATAACTTAAACTAACTATAGTAAAACTAATAAACATAAATTACACAAAGTGGAGAGATTATAATCAGGCAACGAACTATGCAATCGAAAAAACTTATTACGTTTCCGTAGAAACTGACAATTTCTTGTCTGTCCGTGTATATTATATATATTACAAAATCCTCTCGAAATTCCTCTCTATCATGAAATTTTAAGATTTGAAAGTTGAAGCATTACCATTTTCAGCGATCACCTCGACGGGAGTGGACGAGACAGCGGCCTGCGTGAAAAATGTTCCAATTTTTCTGCCGGTTATGATACTCTTAATGGCTTTTTCCTGGGTGCCTTTACAGATGACCACCGCGACGCCGCGATCCATCGCCCAGAGAGCAGCGTTGACCTTGGAGCTCATACCGCCGGTGCCCACCTTTGACTTCTCCCCGAACTTGATGGTACTTCTATGATCGGAGCTGAAGGTGTGCAACATCTTTGCGCCATCCTGCCAAGGCGGCAGGTTGTAGATCCCATCAACGTCGGTCATGAGAACCAGCAGGTCTGCCTGGATCTCGGCCGCCAACATCGCCGCCAGGGAATCGTTGTCCTTGATGGATATACCTCGTCTGCCGCTACCGCCGGCGACTTCGTCGTCAATATCTGGCGGCGGTGATACTGCGTCGTTCGTATTGATGATTGGAACGATGTTCAGGCTGATTAGCTCGCTCAACGTGCTGAAGAGGTTCTTACGGGTCTCCTCGTTGTAAAAGTCGGGCTTGGTCACCAACACCTGGGCGATCTTGACTCCGTACTGCGCGAACATCGCGTCGTAGAGGGACATGAGACCTGATTGGCCTACCGCAGCGGCCGCTCTGGGTTCCAGCATGGTTCCTTAAATACAGTATCAAAGTGAGTAAGTTTTACACTTTACTTTGGGAGAGAAGGTGTCTCGAGAGGAAAACAAAGAGCCGTGATTCGCGGCGCGACGAGCATCGTTTTTGGAATATATTTAAAGGTTGCTTTCGGGAGACGCTACGTCGAGAGAATAGCAAATGACAGATAATTGAATAATGTAGATTAAAGAGAATTGTTTACTGACGCACGCTTTGATCGGTAGATCTATACTCGCCGTGATTTCTCGGACAAATAGAATCCCGTAGGAATTCGTCGCCGGGTAGTTGTTGGCTCAAACCATATAGACACAGACCGAATATTGTCGACTTGGCAGGTTGCCTGGATGGATATTCGGAGCTACTGTCGAAACATTGACACCTTCTGCTTGAGTACTTCCACGGAGTTAAAAATTTACGAACAATCGGTTGTATCCTAGGGTTCAGACTATTTTTAACTTATCCAAAAAAAAGAATGCCTCTTCAATGGTTGGACAGTACGCTTTATTGACACTTTTTACTTGCGCTCAAGGCTGTATATTTATTTAGACACACATATGTTATTTGTCTTTAATAATTATAATTAATTCTTTAATAACTGAATGGATAATAAAATGTACAGTCCGAGAATGATTCGCTATTATTTTTTTCGTGAAAATATTATTACCGTACTAAATTAATGAATCATTAGTAAGAAATAATCTTGATTACAATACCAATAAAAGAATTTTTATCGGATCATACCAATAAAGAGAAAATTTCGCTGAAACTGAAAATATTATTGTCTCCACAAAATCGATTTATATTAAATGTTGCCATGAAAAGTATTTGTTTTTCTGTATACAAATAATTTATTCTTTGTATCGCATCTTGTCTACAATGACATTTTATTACGTCTCTCATTTTTTCTCTTTTTTAAATTAATACTTCTTACTTTTACAAATAAATAAATACCGAATAAAAATCTTTTTCGATGGCAGCATGCAATTAAAGTTAATAATGCATTATAATGTATTATTAATTCATTATAATGTATGTAATATCAAATAATCTTTATTATTACGTTGTGGCCATCGCATTAATGCTTTATAAAAGCTATTTTATAACAACGTTACATGTCATAAAACATAAAAAATGACCGTTTCTATTTCAGGCGAACCGTATTGATAGTAATATGTAGCTAAAGTTATATGTATACTCTATATTTTATGTCCTATGCTATTGATTTATACCTTCGGCGAAAATTGCCTCGATAATTATTATATATTTTTAAAATTCACGGCGCAAAATTTCTTTATACATGATCCGCGTGTGGGGCATATATCCGGTCTTAATTAGAATTATGAGAGCGCTATTCAGAAACGTTATTCGACCGGAAATCTTTCAAAGGGGATTAACGCAAATTACGCTTCGCTACAAGATTATCATATTCCGGGTTCAATTATGTTAATCGTGGTTCAGCTGCGTTCGGTTCGTATTTACATACGAAGTTCGTCTCTTACCTCCCATGACGCATGGAGGTATTAATTAAAGCGTACATCTCTACCGAATCGCATTCCTGATATTGCGTTTGATATAGACGGAGAAGAGTATGTGAAACCTGGCATAGGAATATAATATATACCGCGCCAATTATTGCGCTCAACATTGACGTATCTTGCAGGAAGAGTGAAGCAGCTAAGGAGGGTATATTACTTACGAAATAGGTCAAGTTGAATTTAGGGTCTTGTGATCAATAGCTTCTGAGCTTGGGAAACTGTAGCGTGTAGATAGATTGTGTTCTCATGTGATTATGATTCAGAATCATATCAAACTGTCGACGAAATTGAAAAAAAGACGTAGGAGAAATTAATGTCTTGAACCAATCTATCCAAACAAGATATACATAGAATCTTCTATATAATTATTTTTCTTATTATAAAAAATATATTATTATATAAAATTTTGAAAGAA